CGCTCCCACACTTTGAGGTCTTTGTCAAATTGTGCAATTGTTGCTCGGGATAAGAAACCGTGTGTAAAGAGCCGCATTTAACACGTGTGGCACGTATTTCATTTTGAAAAGCCCACAGCCGAATGCCCAAACCCAAGTCAAAAACTTGTCTGGTTAGTTAAGCGAGAAGCAATGAACCTGCGGGGGCCTAACCAACGTGTACCACACGGCGTATGCGTAACAATGCCCAGCACTTTTTGTTGACAAGGCGAGCGCCTGTGAAAACGAAAAAAAATGAGCTGAGGCACGTAGTACATGGAATTTTTTCTTGTTATGGAGCAGAGGCATGAGTAGGCAGAAGGCAACACAAAAATTGTGACAGAGCGAACGAGCGTGTGCAACAAAGGCGAAATGTGGCACAAAGCAAACCACAAGCAGAATGCACCCACTCAGGCAACATTTCCCTTGCAGTTTTAAAGGCAAACATTTTGACCTTTAACGCAAGCTAAGCAGCTCGTAAGCACCCTGTCTGAGCTTTATAAATTATTCCATTTGGATTTTAAGCCCTGCATGCATGGAAGGGCGGTTGGCCCCACTGGAGAGGGACTCAAATAAAACATGTGCTAAATAAATAAATTGCCTCTGCGCGTTATGCTACAGCAGCAGCAACAGCAGCAACAGTAATTTTGTATCAATTGTTGTTTTTGCTGCTCCTGCTCTTCTGTTTCTTTTTTGTTGTTGTGCTTGGAGTTGGTCGAGTTTTTTGCCCAGCTGTCCTTTCAGACATAATCCTGGCAGCGCACTCCGGACACATAAAGAGCATGTGTTATGCTGTGACATCGAGGGGTCTAAACGAATGCTACAAATACACACAGCTACATCTGTATATACACATACACATCTATCGAAATATGTGTAGGGACATGATGTATCCTGTGGCGCATTTCCGTTTAGTCTGCCCGAACTGCTTCGCATTTACTGCTCGCATTTTATTTGATATATTAGCTACTTTGTGTGCACTTCAAATCTTCAACTATGCGGCGTGTACTCTATAAATCAGCGACAAGTTCTCTCAGATATTTTGCATTACCATGACAGCTGACAGTCGGGACAACCAGAAAATTCATACATACGCTTAAGTTTCCGCTTCATTGTGATGATGTATTTTATGATATATGGTCTCTTAGATATGAAAAGCGGCGCGGCTTGATAAGCGGCACCTTAAAATGCGGCTTTTTCCTTTTCCCTTTTGGCATGTTCAATGTGGCGTATGCGTAATATTATTTTTTAGTGTTTTGGTTACGGCTCTGCCGTGATTTATGTGTATTTAAATTGAATTTAAATTTAAATGCAAAACTTAAGCTGCGTTAAAAATATGCTTGACTTCTGTTTGGGAATCGACGGGGCGTGTGACAGAAATAAAATATCTGTTATTTATTATTTACTTTGCGTATGGAAATGGAAATTTCTGTTTTGATTAATAATCATGCGCTTCACTTACCGAAAATATTGCCAAATAAATATTTTCGTATAAAAGATGCGCTATATACGATTGCCGGTTAAATTTTGAGCCTATTAAGAGTTGAGTCGTGAGGTTTTTTGCATTTTGACCGGCATTCCTTTCGTTCCGAAGTGATATCATTCTTCATGACTTTCGATTTGCATTTCCAGTAATATTTGAGTCAGGACTTTATCTTCATTTGGAATTCGGCTGACAGCACAAAATACCAACAGAAATCTTTGCCCAAAAATTCAATGGCCAGCAGATTGAGATTGAATCGTGTCAAATCAAAAAAGGGATTTGCATTTGCTGCTCTTGTTGCATTCAATTTGCCAAATGCATATTTGTTGACTTAAGCCCTTAAATGCATTTTGCAACAGTTGTGCAGAAAATCCCCCTTTGTTTTTATATCCAATGCATGAATTGTTTAACACTGGGGCATAACAGATGTCCCCAAGTGCAAATATTGCTGTAATATTTTTACATAGCCCAAATCCCAGTGTTGACAATGCTTAAAAAACTGAATATCCAGGCGCACACAATAAAAAAGTAATAATAATAAAAACAATAAACAAACTTTGCATTGTGTTTATCAAAGAATGTTTTTGTACTCAGCTGCCCACGTTCACATTAGCCAAAAAAGTATATTTATTTGCTTTAATACAATATGCAAGGTCATGCGGTTGCTCAATTTTTATGTTTATTGCATAGGAAATTAAAATTAATGCCTTTTGTAATTGCTTTTAAGTAGCGATTGTTTATTTGAAGAAGCATACGCTAATATTTGCTTAATACACACAAGCACAAACACATACACACACAGATGTGCGAAGCCGCATAAATCAGCGGAAAAGCTTTTGTGCAAAGAGAATAGAGATTTTATGATATATGCGCCCTAATAAATTCTAAATAAAAATGATTTATATGAAAGTAAGAGGAAAAACTATTCGAAAGATGTGCAATAAACCATACATAGATGTTGAAAGTTTTGACAGCGAACGAATTGAAAATAACACCCACACATACACACGCACAGAGTCATCAAAGCGAGCATAGTCATGTGTGTGTGTGTGTGTGTGTGTTTTCATTACTCATACGTCACGTGTGCGTGGATCGGAAACGAGCATTGAAAGCTGTCATGAAAACTCACTTCGATAGCTAGCGAAATGCAGTTCAAAAGCCAAACAAATTTCATGCGCCTCGCTACCTTTTGTTTTCCATTCTCTCTTAATGTGTTTTGCAATATAAAAAAGTAAAGTAAAAAGAAGAAAATTACGACTGGAACATTGTTTTTCACTGTGCTGAAGACCTCAAAATAGATGCTCTCTGGCTGGCTTGTACATTTCGTATTTTATGTGTTGCCTGTTTTATTGAAGTTGTTGTTGTTGTGGTTGTGGTTGTTGTTGTTCTTGTTGTTGTTGCTCGGCTACTTGCACCACACGCAATTCGCCAGCTGATGAGTGCTTGGGCCACGCTTTCGGCCTAGGCATTTTTTATTGCTAATTTCTGTTATTGCGTTGCGTGCACAGGCCTCTGTCGATGTGGATGTGGATGTGTGTGTGCGCACTCGTAAAAATATTTTTATTAGCAGTGGGTGCGCTGACACGCCCACACGCACACACTCACACTAATTCACTGAGAGTAAATGCTGCAAAGTGTGCTTTGATATTTTTTGCACGCATTTAACATATGCTTCTATCTATAGCTCAACTTTTTGGCTTATTGCTCTCACCTAGCCACACTTGCCGTGCCCCTCCCACTCAGTGCCTTATCAGCTTGGCAAGTTTGTCGCCTTCGGACTCGTAAAATTTAAGTGCTACCAAGCTGTTACTGACCCGCTTCCTCTCTCTCCCTCTCTTTCTCTCTCTCTCTCTCTCTCTCTCTCTGCTTCTCTCTCTGTCCCTGCCTGTTAACTTACTGCAAATTGGCAGCTCTTTTATAGCTTTTGCCGGTTAATAAACAAATTTGTCTGCTCAGCTTTTGGCGCTGGGCTGCATAATAAATATATAAACATGCGTTATCCTTATCAACCGCTATTGCCTCACAATATTTACCCGTTTTATGCCCGCCCAAGTGCAGCTACATTTCGCCATTACGCAGCACTTTTAGCCCGACTTAAACACTTTCCTCAACACCTCCTTTTGTTTCAACACCTGCAACAATTCATTTCAATGCGCATTCACTCGCTGTGGCTTTAAGTGCGAACTGCCATTTGCCTAAGCGATGAGATTAAGTGTATTTGTGTGTGTGTGTGGGAGAATGCATTTGTGTGCGTGTATGTGTGAGTTTACTTCGCAGCTAGCGCAAATAGCGCTCAATTCGTACTTGTTCGACGAAGCTCATCTACTCTAAACCTAATTCTATCTTCCCGCCACGCTTGATTGCAGCTCTGTTGCACACGAGCCGTCAGCCCTTAGCTTTCAGCCTAACACCCTGCCACGCCCCCACTGCAATCAGTGCTCTGCTAACTGGGCTTTAGCTTTCAGCTGTCTGTTGACTGCAGTTGTGGCTAAAGTTGCGCTTTGTTTCGGACTATTTTGTTCGGCTTCCTCTTTGGCTCGCATCCGGCTCGGCGCACAACGCACAAATGCAATTGCAGCTGCCTATCGTCAGTTGGGCCATGCATGCGTGTGTGTGTGCATATGTGTCTGTGTGTGGTCAATGGTCTGTGTGACATAGCTATTTCCATGTTTGCCTAGCTGTTAGCCAGCATGGAATGCAAGGCATGCTGTGCGACAAATTTGAGCATTGTATCAATTGGAATGTTTCAGAAATTGAATCTGAGAAATTTAGTTGTTAAAAATATTGAAGTAAATATAGGAATTGTTAAATAATTGATTCAATTAGGAATTCCATTTCTTAAATAATTTCATCTTCACAGTTGACCTTTCTCTTTCTCTTGTAGCTGGCTTTAATATATCAATAAGATTTACAGCATTTTATGTAGCACCTACTGTCAACGGGTTGAGCACTTCAAATCCCGCTTTAACATAAATTTCATTTATTTTTCATATTTGCTGTAAACAATTGGAATGCGTGCATAAAAAATGAATTGTATACTTTTGGGTGTTCGAATTAAATTGCGTTAGCCCGCAGCTGAATTCAGGAAAAGGCATTAAAATAACAAAATGAATAAATTGTGCATACTCACACACACATCCACGCACACAGCAACAACAACAACAACAACAGCAGCCCGCATACGTAGCGAATTGGCCGCAAAACCAATTAAATTGCGGCTCAAACCAACTGTAAAGCAAAAATATGCGATTGCATGCAATGAAGCGCGAGTAGCAGACGCATACGCATACATATATATATGCACATATATACACATATCTACACTCACGCACACAGGAACATACATACATACGCATTCATTCAAAAGTTTTAAGAGCCTTGCCTAGATTTAAACGCGTGCCCCCGCCCCCTCACAAAACATATTTGGCCACATATTAAAAGCCAACCCGAGTCGACCCCAAAAAACTAATTGCAACACTTTTGAATCTCGCTTTTGCAGCATACTTTTTGTTGTATGCGACGGTTAAGCGATGGCTGAGCAGAGCACCAGCAACAGCAGCAACAACAACAACATCAACAGCGGCAGCAGCAGCAGCTCCACTTATAACAGCGTTGCTGAAAGCGGACCAGATTTTGATGCACTGCGTGCGGCCTGCAACGCGCATTTGAATAGCAGCCATCCACTAACAGGTAAGCCAACAATAACAACAGCGCATGCCACATGCCACATGCCACATGCCCCGCCCACCGCAGCACTCAATATACAATTTGTGTAATCCGTCTTTAGGTCCACATTGTGCGGGCACTTTCGATGGCTGGCTTTGCTGGCCCGACACGCGCGCTGGCGAGTCCGCCTACGAGCTCTGTCCGGGCTTCATCACCGGCTTTGATCCGACACGTAAGTAACGCTATTTTATTGACGCACTTGTTTGTTTGATAACATCCGGGGTCCAGCTTACGCTGTTGCTGATTTTGACAGCAAATCAAATATTCGAATGAATTTATTGTACAAATGAGCGAGGCAACCAAATGTCAGGCCCTCGATTACAACGGAAACGGAAATACTGCCAGGGGTGGCAGGCACTTAAGGCAAGGCTGCGGGCTCCAAGCAAGCAACAGACATGCCCAAACACACACACGCGCACACACACACACACACTCGCACAATCTGAAGCACACATGCCTGAATAAGCCGCAAACCAAAAATCGCCCTATTCCACCTGGCATTCTAATTGGCCGCATTCCCCTGCGAGGAGGCATCTTTTAGGCCGCATTTCCGCTTCCGCTGTTGACTTTGGCGTAAAGCAGCTGTTTTATCTTTCATCTGTTATTAAAAGATGCTACCAAATCAATTTGCTTCTTAGCGCTGACTTAAATATATATAAAGCACACACATACACACATACAAGCCGCAAATGTGTGTGCGTGTGTACTCGTGCATAAAGCAGCTGCTTAAATTGTTTTCTTTTTTTTTTCTTTTTCCTCGTGGCTCTCAGGCCACGAAAGCTGTTCCGATTTCCTCCTATTTTTTTTTTTTTTTTTTTTGGTTTGAAATCAATAACTGAAGTTTTGCTGTGAAATATGTTTTCATTAGAGAAAAAAAAAAACAACATCCATAACAACAGCAAACAATAAGCATTGTTCAAGTTTTGAAGTATCAAAAAGTAAATTGTACAAGTTTTACAAGTCAAGTTTTCTTTATTATTATTTTATTTTTTATTTTTTTATTTTTGCGCAATATACGAAATCCAAATCCAAAACAAAGTCAAATAAATGCCAAAATCTCGAACGCATGAAAATGACACAAGTGCCACTTGAAAAGCTGAATTAAATTTAGAGACCAATTTATTAGCAGATACATAGCTTTAAGATATATATGAAAATATCTCAAAGTATAGATGTCAATGCAATTGACAGAAAATTTTAGGTAAAATAAAAATATATAAATATTATACTAAACATGAAAACAATTCTAGTTGGACATATTAGAAACGCCCTGTAAATAGTCTAAGCAATAAAAACAATATAATATAACACACTAATATAACACTTTTCAAGGATATTAAATATTAAAACTAAACTAAAGTTTCATTTAGAGAGCAGAAAACTTACAAAGCTAATATTTTCTAAATGTGTAATACAAATATAAGCATTTCATTTTATTATTATTAATTGGATTATAATTTTATTATTTACCAATTTCATATTTTATGTATATATATATTNNNTATATAAGTTTAATTTTCTTTTGGTTGCCTATATTTCGCCCAAATAAATTCATTAAAATTTAATTTCATTTACTGATGATAAATACAATTTAAAATGCCAACTAATTATTTTGCCGGCTTTAACAGTTAACTTCAATTCAATTATCCATCCATTTGGTTAATAAATTTCTACCTTGTATCATTGCCTTTAGCTATTATCTTGTCTGCCACACACTCACATTATTAAATCCCCCATCAACAATAAGCCCAACCGTTTGATATAAATAAACGTAAACGCAAAAAGAAAACAGGAAAAATAAAGTTGAACATTTCACGCTATCAAAAACATAAGCCACAAACTTTGAACCCACTTAATTATATAGATACAAAATGGCGTATCATAGCCAACATGTGAGCAGAGCTTCACGAATTAGCCAAGCGCAATTTCCTGTTATTAGCTCGCGGCGAACTTTTTTTTCTCTTTTTTTTTTTTTTTTGCCATATTTGGTGGGCCAACCAAAACCACGGAATCATTTTAATGCAATAATAATGAATTATTCAAAACTGCATGAAATTGTTTATGCTAGGCAAAAACAACATAAAAAGTGGAATATGATTTGAATATTTATGCAAAATAAAAAATAAAAAATAAAACAAAAACAAAATAAAAACGTAAATTAAAGCAACGAAGTTAAAGGAATAAATAAATACCCTGTAGTGTACATAGATATAACAAAGATTTATAGACTTGAGTATGTCTTTAGAGTAAATACAAGTCGGTTAGCTTTGACTAGAATACTATTAGAATTTATATGCATTGACTCTAACAACAATTATTCAACTTTTAATACTCAGTTATTAAATATTTTTATCCCAGGACTTCTTCCCATTTCTACATTGCATAAATTGCAATATTTGTAGTCAAACTAAACGCTCGCTATTAAGTAATCACAATCAAGTTCTGTATGGCAATTTATGGCATATTACTTGACTCTGCCATGTCATTTTTCAGCATGAAGCGCAACAGCAGGCCATAGTCACAGCGCCCATGCAACAGCCTTGTCACGTGTCTGAGCTAAAGTTGAATGACATTTTTGTGTGTTGTTTGTGCCAAAAAGAACAGCAGAAAAAACAACAGAAAAACAAAAACAAAAAAACAAAAAAAATAACATGGCGCCTAGCATACTCAGTGGCTGAAAAGGGTGGGAGTTGGCGTTGCCTCTGTTGCGTTTACAGTAAGCAAATGTGGCTTACAGCACATTTGGCTTATGGCTCGGTTTTGGCCAGCAGCACGCCTTTGGCAGCAGCAGTAGTAGCAGCAGCAGCGCCTCGGGGTCGCCAGATTGTACAAGATTATGTGCTTTGCAGTGCGCCGTCATTAACTTTTATGGCACTTCCGTTGGTCGGATGTGGTTAGCAGTGGCAGTGGCTGTGGCAATAGTAGAAATGGCAGCAGCAGCAGCAGCGACAGCAACAAAAACGCTGCTTTTTTTGTTGGCTGGCTGTCATGCTGCTTACTTGCCACACAGAGCGTATACGTGATTTTTTCGTTGCTGCGTGCCAAGTGAGTATAAAAAGGGTACGCCAAAAAAAGAGCGAAAGCAAGACAGATAGAGTAAAATAGATAAAGCGAACGCTTCAGAACTTCACCTGTGAAATTCCCAACCGTTAAGGCATTCGAAACTCGTCTTTTTGTTGTTCCATTGACCAAGAGTACAATAGTTTCTCCTGTTACGGCTGTGGCAACTCCATGTATGTATGTGTGTATGCGATTGCTTTCAACAAGTTCGATAACAATTTAACAATGGCACGAAAATTGCATAACTCAGTCGAGCCAAGGCATTCGACATGCCTGAGGCACTTAAAAACTTTTAAGGAAACCATTTAGAGGATCAATTGAAATTTCCTAACTTTAGTTGGAGTTTTGCTATTATTAAGATTCAAATTTCCTATTTTTATTGCAATTATCTACTAACTGAAAACTGCAGAGAAGCTTGTCAAGTTTCTGTGGAAACTACGTTTTCGCTAATTAAGTAGTATTTTCAAGTCTATCATATACGTCTAATATATTAGAGCATTATATATTGATCTACATCAAGCACTGCCAATAGCAAATTTGTCCGCAATCAATTGGCTGTGGTTAAATTGTTAACATATCGTATACGCAATAGACATTATAGCTGCAATCTCAAAATGCAAAATAAATGGAAAACTAATGAAAATATGATGTGAAGTAAGCGCCAAGTGAGTGCATTCTGTGTGTGCGATGCAATTATTTATAATTAGTTTATTCTGGCGAAAGCTAATTATGAACCAGAAATAATATTAGATAAACTCATTTTCGATTCACAGGATATGCGCACAAGGAGTGCGGTGATGATGGTGAATGGTTCAAGCATCCATTGACCAACCGAACCTGGTCGAACTATACCACCTGCGTGAATCTGGACGATTTGGCGGTAAGTTGAAAATTGAAATTAATATTGAAAATTTATGCTTAAATTTAATGCGCTTCTCATTTGCAGCGCAATCACAATGTGAACTTAATCTATGAGGTGGGCTACAGCATCTCGCTGCTGGCTATATTGCTATCGTTGGGCATCCTGAGCTACTTCAAGTAAGTCTCTAAGTTTAGCTACACTCGTGCTTGAGATGTCGTATAAAAGCACTTATTGCTAATGAGCCACATTTGCCAGTTGTTGTTATGGTCTTGGCCCTGGCGCGCTTGGCGCCAAATTTTATTGTTAAACAAAGATGAGGCAAACGCTGCTCTAATCAACTGCCAAAGAGCTCAACATGTGTGTGTGTATATATGTATATGTGTGTGTGTGTGTGTCTGGCTCTGTCTCTGTCTCTCTTCATTGCACTTTTCATGCGCCCATTTAATCCGCCACACTTGGCGTCGGAAATGAGAAAATATTTGCTTTCTTACCAAGGCCACATCGGCAGCTAACTTTACCTCTGTCGCTCTCTCGCTCGCTCGCTCGCTCTCGTCTCATGTCGTCCCATCTTGCTCCCACTTTATGATTTTCATTGCCTGCTGTGTCGTACGTCAAGTGAGTATTAAATTGTGTGTCTTCTTCAAACAGGATATCGATTAATTTCCACTTGTCTGCAGCACAATTAGTGCTCTTGGCTTGTTTATTATCAGCTCAGACAAAAAGACACGCAGCCTGACAGAGAGAGACAGAGAAAGAGTACAAGCGAGAGAGCTAGACTGAAACAGCTAACCTTTGGCTAAAGCGTTTTCAACTGTGTGCAAAGGGCTAATAAAACGTGCCACCAAATGTGCCAGGAATTTCGTTTAACTATGCTCTTAACTAAACCAATGTGAAAGTACATAAAGGCGCAAATTAATTGAGTGTGAAAATTAAACGCAGACACAAATATTTCGCGTATTTCAATTAGCTTAATCGATAATACAAATTAAAATTTTCGCACTCCACATAACCATTTTTTTTATTATACTTTAATCCATATCCACAAAAGTTTGATCGAATCTTTAAACCAATTTTGCATAGGATAGAACTTAATATAGGAATTTAATAACATTTGAAAATGTCAAAAAAAAAAAAAAAAAAAAAATTATATAAAATTAAAAAAATATTAGTAATAGTTTATTTTAAATAAATACAAAATATTCTAAAGTTTCTTAGAAATAATAAGCAGTATCATATATATTCCTTTATTTTCTTAAATTTTCATTTGTGTCGCAAATTGAGCTAAAATAAAAGTATCCCTTAAGATGGTATATAATACAGACAGTAATCCCGTTAGGGCTTGGACAGCAAGCTCCCTTAAGCCACATCAGAAATGCCAAGCCCTGCCAGCCAATCTTTTTCTAGCTGAACAGCATTTATCTAACTCATCTATCTGCTGCACCAGTAAAAACTGTCTTAGATATTATTGCATTAGAAACGTCGGACATTGCAGTCACATATGGCAAAATGTGGACACAACCTGTGTGCACACCGAGAGCTGTATCCAATTTGCATGGCATGCATTAATTCGCCAGCTCCAACAAGATTTCATTAATATGCAGCACGGCTCTTGGCCAACTGCCAAAATTCGGCAAATGCAGCCGCAGCGAATCTAAACACGACTGAGATGCGAACTGCAAAATGAGAAATGAAAGCTCACAGCATGTGCACTCGATGCTGACATTGAAACTCCATTCACATTCCAAACAAATTTTATATGCCCCATTGGTTAGTCCACTCTGTGGCCATCTCAACAATGAGAGTCGTGTGAAATGCAAATACATGTTTTTCCGAATGTATGTCAATATTTGGATACGTCAAAAAAATGGAAATTAAACGAATTCTTGTGTGTCATATTTGGGAAAGACCATTTCGAAGTACCTGGCTAGAAGATGCTCTGTAGTAAAAACCAAATTCGAAATAGAGCATAAATATTATGAATATTAATGAAATCATACAAATTAAGCAGATGCAGATTATATTATATGATTGATTTGAGATTTTAAGTTCTTTATAAAACAAATCTTGCAGAGGTTCATATTCTACTGTTTCTATAAAGTCTAATGGTCATTAATAGCAGCTATTTAAGATAATAAATAAGTCACATTATAATGATGATCATCATCACACATCTAGAACAAGCCTCGTTGCCCATAGTTTAAGAGATTTAAGTCTTTAATAATATTTCATATATATATATATTTCTTTCATATCTCTGTAAATCTCCGCCTTCAACACCAACTAATCATTTCATTTCTTATTTTCAGATCTCTGAAATGCGCTCGCATCACGCTTCACATGAATCTGTTCAGCTCATTTGCCGCTAACAGTTCGCTGTGGCTCATTTGGTATCTGGTTGTGGTGCCCAACTCGGAGCTGGTGCAGCTCAGTCCGGTAAGCAGACTTAATGAAACCCAAAGCCCAGTCTCTGAAATTGAATTTTCAATTTGTCTTCCATCTTCTTCTTCTTTTTTTCTGTTTTTGTTTCAGGGCTATTGTGTGGCTTTGCACATAATACTGCACTATTTTCTGCTGACGAACTATTCGTGGATGCTGTGCGAGGGCTTCTACCTGCACACGGTGCTAGTCGCCGCTTTTATATCGGAGAAAAAGCTGGTCAAATGGCTGATAGCCTTCGGCTGGTGTTCGCCGGCCATTGTCATTTGCATCTATGGACTGGCACGCGGACTCAGCGGCAGCCGAGAGGAGAATCTACAGTAAGTGCAATGCAACATGATGTCAGCATGTGTATGCATACACACATGTATATGTGTGTGACTTGCTAAATTGATTGTGTGCACGCATACATGCAAACCGATTTGCAAACTCAAATCAAATCAAATCAATTGTAAACCAGCTCGTTTGCAATTCATTAGATGACAATTCGCCCACAGACTTAACTCATCTCCATCTCTGTCTCTCTCTCTCTCTCTCTCGCGCGCCTCTCTTTCCAGCTGCTGGATGACGGACACAGACTATAACTACATTCTGATAGTTCCCGTTTGCATTTCAATCTTCCTCAATTTACTGTTCCTTTGCAACATTGTGCGCGTCGTCCTGCTCAAGCTGAATGCCCCCGCCAGCCTGCAGGGCGGCTGTGGACCCTCACGAACCGTACTTCAAGCATTTCGGTAAGTTTTTTGAAGCGCAAAAATGGGGCCAACAGAAAAAACAAACAGAGTCAAGTCCCAAAAGTAAAAGACTTCAATTCAATAATAATAATAATATGTAATTTGCTTACTCACACAAAAAGTGCCGACGACAGGACTTCGGGGCGTACGCGTAATAAACTTGTTTTTCTTCAGCTCGTACTTTTCCTTTTATTTTCTGTTCGTTTCCTTTTTCGTCGCGCTGCGTTCGAAAGTTTTTTATTTTGCTTCATTTTACATTTTAAATTACGCATACGCCGCGTTGACTTGCATTTTAATACGCACGTCGACAAACGAATTATACATAAGTCTAAGTATTATTACAATCCGACCCAAACTCACTCTATTCTTCCCATCTTCTTTCTCTCTTTCTTTCATTCTTTACCTCTCACTTTCTAAATTGCTCTTCCTTTTTCCTTGTCTTTTTTCGCAGAGCTACGTTGCTGCTTGTGCCGCTGCTTGGCCTCCAGTATATGTTAACGCCGTTTCGTCCTGGCCAAGAGCATCCCTGGGAGTATACATACCAAGTCATCTCGGCATTTACGGCCTCATTTCAAGTAAGTAATGCTTTCTGCTTCAGCTTTTTCTTTCGGTTTTTTCATTTCTGAATACCCCTTATAGAGTGGAAATGTGAAAACTAGTTTAAGGTTAAAATGAATTGTATTTCAGAAAAACTTGAACATTTTAATATTGAATGCTTGACAATTATCTCCTCTTCCATCTTCTACCTTCATTAATTTCTTCTCCTAACTTATTCGCCACCTTTTCCACAAATTCTTCGTTTTCATCTCTTTATAATAAGTTCTAATAAAAAACTAATTTGCTTAATGGTCTAAGACTTCTATACAGGGCACTTCATAGTCCAGCTGACTCTGCAGCTGCTGTTCCTTGCCAACCAGCTTTAATATTGTTTTATGACCCCCACACAGGTTGAGCACTTTTATGCTCTTAGTGTATGTAAATTTCTTACTCGGCTGCTTTGATTTAAACTTAAATCCACACGCTTGGAATTTGCACTTGCGAGTGATGGTAAAGAGAAAATGGCAGAAAATATGGTTATTTAATTGGCAACATTTTTTGCTGATTTTACCAAGCAGATATTGGCCATAATTTATGTAAATAAGCTAAAGTCCATGTCAGCGCTTGTTTATTACAAATTTCCTCCCAATCATAAACCAGATCGTTGCCGTAACGCTGAGGGCTAAATTATTAAAATGCCAGGCACATGCTTGGGAAACATTCACCCCAGCCCAAAGCCCACAAATCTCAGCACATTTAAATGCGACCAACTTCTCAGTCTCAGCCAGAGACTTTCAGAAACGTGAAAGAAGAAAGGCCAAGGCAAGCAAGTGAAATCAATAAACAAATATGCTATGTAAAAAATTTGATTATGATATATTATCTTCCATATTGCCATGAATAATCATATTGAATTTGATTAATCAAGGCAGACGACTGTGAAAAATTAATATAACCTATGTACAGGAAATACTGTGAAAAAGTCAAGGAATTTGAATTTTGAAAGTCAAAATTAAAGTTAGAAATATTTTAACTTTATGTAAAATAACATTTTATGTAAAATAACATTTTGCATTTGATAAATTGAACAAGTCAGGCTTAATTGTTTGGAAAGCTAAGCAAAATAAACCACAAATTTTCTTCTGGATTTTGAAACTTCAAGTCAAATCGTGGCACATAAAACCAAATCGTGCTTCAGCTTATTTTTAGCTGCTCTTTTAGCTTTGACGCAAATAACTATAAAAATCCAAGCGAAAATGTAAGCTTCAATGTCTGCGGTTTGCTGCATATATAGTTTACAGTCATATACAAAAAAAAAAAAAAAAAAAAGGAAAAAAGAAAATAGCAGATTCTCATGTCTTGTGGTCTGCCTGGGGCGTGGCAGTACACGCTGCAGTTGAGCTGCAGTTACAAGACTTTTAGCAAGCAATGCAGAAAAAGAAGTAAAAACAAATCGCGCAGACACTCAACTACAGACATTTCTTTCCCGGCTAACTTTTGCAAATATTTTATTTATTTACGGCATCAAAACAGAAATTGCAAGCATACGTTTAAAGAGCACAGGAGACATTAAATAATAAATAATAAAATAATAATCATTGTAATGGATATTTTATAAAATATGCTAAGGTAAAGTTTAGTTTAGCTCAGCTTCAGCTCTAGCTGCTATATAATATTATGAGTTTTCCTGCCATCAAACTACCCCATTTCAAATTGCTGAAATTCCCAGGGTATTCGAGTAAAACACAATGCACTGTTTATCTGCGACTTTACTTTACTCTTTGGCTACCCCCAAAAAAAGAAGGAGGAATCGCTGAGTGACAAATGCAAAAGCAAAATACTTTTGCTCAAATGTTTTTAAAGCCAGTAAGCAGCAACTTTTTATTATTGTATTATTTGTTGTTGTTATTGTTGTTGTCGCTCCGCAAATTGCAAAGTTTTCATCAAGAGGCACTTTTTACTTTGGCGCAGATATAATTTCGGATTTATTGTGCCGGCTGCACTGCGCACAACTCTCATAAAAGATTCGGTACAACTTTTAAGCGCCATAAAGTCCATATAATATTAAGTTTATATATGCGAGATGATTTCATCAGCTGCACAATGGCCAGCGCTGCGAGCCGAAACTAATAATGGAATGAGTTTTGAGATTTCTTTATGTCCTCTTGTTTATGTTTTGTTAAAAAAGAAGAGATGGAAGTAGTTCTGGCGTCAACAATTAACTTTTGATTATAGCCCATTAAAAATTAATTGAAAAATTAAAAACGAAGCTAAAGAAGTAGTTTGACTCAGCTTCGATTGTCTAAACTAAAGAATTCATGGATGAACGCGTCAGGTTTTATAATGAAGTGTAGTTTTAGTATGCATAATATAGAATTTTTAACTGCAGAAATGTAAATTTATTACAATATTAATTAATTTAGCTATTCATTTTTGTATGAGCTGAGAATTTTAATCTGTTGTCTTACTATTTTTCTAAGCCTTAAATATATAAATATTTTACATTAGCTTTGCTTGCTGCCCTTCGACAAACAGAGCCAAGAAATATGCGACTGACATTTAAAAGCAGAGCAATCTATTAAATGCCTATGCTTTATCTAAGCGTGCGCTGCAATTAAAGTCAACTTGCTGCACAAAGAAAAATATGAAGAAAGCAAGAAATAAATAAGGAAAATTTTTTAATTTGTTTGATATGGCAAGGCACTTGTATTCATCAAATGCCGCAGCTGGAATTTGCAATAAATATTAAAAAATATTTGCTCATATGCGAGCATATAAGGAATATATGTAGGGGAGCATCAGTGTCTAGGCCAACTCAATCTTTGAACCCCGACATCTACAGCAGAGGCAGCAACTGCAGCAGCTGTTGTTATTTTCATACAAATTGAATTGAAAACTTGGCAGCAAAAGTCACATACTCTTAATGGGGGCCCGGACCGGACCATAAACGAGAGCACATTTGTAGCCAAACTTTTTGGCTGTCTACTTTGCTAATTAGTTTCGCAAACAGTTTGCACTTTTTGGCTACTCAAGTAATTAGCAAATCATCGTCTGCAAACAGCTACAAGAGCTGAGTTGCATGTCACGCTGAAATCAAAGGCACCGACTACAGAGTATTCACAAGGTAGCTATAAAAATGTTGTTTCAGCCTGTGTACACACACTTCTATCGCCGTCTCTTTCTCTACCTCTTTGTCTCTCTTTTTACTCACTCTCATCCTGCTCCGAGACTGAGTAATGGCAAACATCAGTTTGCATAATAACTAGCTAAATAATATTCAACCTACATAGAGTGAGCCCAGCTGCTGGACTTATTACGGGCAAAGCCGGACGGCTGAAAGAGAATAGGCAAAAACCCGTAGAAAATCTTTATAAATGCGCAGCAACCACAAAGCCAAAGCAAAACGAGCATTCAAGTCGACTTGCAATTTCCCTGTGGCTAGCTCTGAAACATAGTGTAAAAACAGTTATGAAATGCCTCTGTTTAAATGCCAAATGCCCCGCAGAAATTATGTTTATGGGCAAGTTTTACCTCGAGAAATTACTGCTACAACTGACCTCTTTGGTTAACTGTAGGCAGTTACCTGTCAAGGGAAGACACTTTTTTGCCTCCCCCGAATTCCAGCCTATTGGGATTCAAATGGCAAGGACAGCTGCATCACTTAGTCTGTAGTCTGTTAAACGTGATTTCAGGACTGCTCATTGAGGTTGGGTCCCTTATGGATCCATCATATTCTTTTTGATTTCGTTGATGGTTTTAAGCTTTACTAATTGAAAGGTGACTCAAAGCACTACTACAAAGTACTGCTCCCTTAAATCAGTTAGACATTAATTATGTTTTGAATACTTTATGTAACCAGAATATATAAGGCGAATAGCAAAGCTATTACTATAATTATTCTGTCAATTAAGTAAGGCCATCAATTATATTTAGTATAACTGGCATAATATTTAGTACGTACAATGCCAAAGAATGTGCCCATGTGTGTGTGTGTGTGTCTGTGCGATAGTGTGATTGAGTTATGGAACAGTTCAGGACGTGTGCATTGCCAATCAAGTGAAGCCTTTTTTGCCTTTTGCCAATTTCATTTATATGCAAGCAATGTGTGAATGAAGCAATCCTGACAAAGGATCCTGCACGTAGGCAACTATATGCATTCAAGACGTAGGTAAATATACACACACACGCACACACGTGCACACACACTCATACTCCATCTGCTCTGCTTGACAAATGATAAACAACGTCAGCTCTGTCAGGCGACAATTGAGTGATACAAAACACATTTAAAGATACAGAAATATTTGCTAGAGATACAAATACAAATGCAGATACATTTGCAGGCACATTCACAGATACATTTGCAGGCTATGGCTACAGCTGCGTCTGCGTCTGCGTCTGGTCGCAAAATGAATTGTCAACAGTTGAGTTGGACCCGAAATTGGCACATAAACCAAATTTCATTAGACTTAAGTAGCAGCGTTTGCGTCTCGTCCAATGATACAATAACAATAAGAGAAGAACAATAATAATATTTCAACTGGCAGTGCAACTACATGGACCAACTGAAACTCATTTTGTATTCGCAGGGCTTGTGCGTGGCAACATTATTCTGCTTCTTCAACGGCGAGGTGATTGCCCAAGTGAAGCGCAAGTGGCGAACGTTCTACTTCAGTAGTCGACCTCGGACCAATTCCTACACAGCCACTCAGGTCTCGGTAAGATTTCATATGAGCTTCACAATGCTTCTATTTTCTTTTCTGGCTAGATTAAAACGGGGCTATGGCGCGTATGCGTAATGCAAGCTAAGCTAATGCAATAACTGAATACACACAAACACAACCACACACACACACACTATTGGCAAACCACACTAATTCTTGCTGATGATTTAAATGCATGTAAAAAACACACACACAAACACACAGATACACAGTTTACATAGAGAATCGCACCGTTTTCGCAACCTGCCAACCACCATGATAGCAAATTCTCAGTTCTTTTGATTGTAGTTCGTGCGCTGCGGTCCGCCAATGCCTGGCGAGGAGAAGGTATGACTAAAGGATCTATCGTCATCAGCTAAGCGACGCGCCTCCTCAGCACCCCATCACCACCAGCAACAGCAACAACAGCAGCAGCAACAGCAACATGAGCTGCAACAACAACGCTCGCGCAGCCAAAGTATGGCCCTGACAGGAGCCGGTGGCAGCACGTCCGGTCTTATCGATGGTTGGCGTCAGAAACTGCATTTCCTGCGACGCCCCAACGTAGATAATGCACACCAGCGACAGCCGCTTATGGAGGAAACCGCGGCCAATACGCAGTTGCAGTTGGCAGCTGGCAATATGCAAGTGGAGGTGGCGCTCCAGCCGCAGCTGATGACGACAATAGCAGAAGATGTTGCCGAAGCAGCGGCAGCAGCAGGTGCAACAGCTACAGCAACGGCAACAACGAATACAGCTGAACAGCGCAATGGCACAGGTGCATCTACAGGTGTTGTCATTGTCAGCGTAGATGCCAGTGGGCAACAAAATATAGCCGATGAGGCGCTTTAAACTAAACACAAACAAACCCAGTCACAAAAACAATTCTGTTACAAAAATCTCTCATAGTCTAAGCCAATTTTAAGTAGCTACCGGCCCAAAAATTAAGTTAAACCAAACAAAAATGGAATGCACCCCACCTACAACAACAACAAACAACAACAAAATCAACAAAAACGGTCGCCCGATCTTTACAACGAACAATGTGGAAATTTTAGCAACAATAAAAATAATATCATTGTAAAGATGCATTTCCTACTAAAAAAAATAAAAATAAATAAAGAAAAAGTTCGGAACCTCAATTTCACAGCAAATTGTCGGAAAAATGTGTTGTTAAATGCTTGAATTATAAACAGTGTTGAAAAACGGATGTGCTAAACTAACCCCAACCTAACCCTAAAAATTACACACATTAAATATAATGCAGTGCAAGTATCAATGTGTATCATAAATATCTATGCTATTGATATAGCCCACCCTAATATCGATAAAAACCAAAAGTTTTTCAACACTGCAAAAAAAACAGGCTATTCCTAGACGTAAGATAATTTCAATAAAATTGCTGTGAAATTGAAATTAAAAATACAAAATTTCCTGCACAAAATCTGGCGTCAGTGTTGTAAAAAACTAAATGCAACTAGCATTTAGCTAAAAGCATATTACATCCATACATACATATGAATATGAATATATTTAAATCGCAACTATTATATGATTATTAAGAATTTACGTGGATATCAAATATCATTGTTGTCTTAAGTGTTATGTGTCCCCAACTATTCATGCATATGTGGCTATATCGATATAAATACCTATATATACATATATATTTATATTTATGTGGTAAGCTGAGCTTTCTAACATTTTTAACCTAAGCGCTTTTGACTATTCTAGATGAATGCTACGAGATCTGTGTATATGAAATATATATATCTAAATATATTAAATGGAATATAAAGCAAATTAAATGTATTTTCATTGAGCACTTCACAATGCGCTTATAGCGCTTTTATTACTAAGCCATTCGACAGCACTTTGAATACGTTTTAAAGCTGCTGCGCATTAAGCCTAATTGCGCCTTTTGCAACACTGTTGCTCAGGTAAGTGTTATTAAGTGCTAAGCAGCTAACAAATTATCTGTTAATTAGCAAACTTTTACGCTGCTGTTGAGATTTTATGAAATGAACCTTCCGGCTCTCATTGATGGTGGACAATCCTCCTGCCGTCGCCTGCTCCTTCTCCTGCACCTATTCATGGAGTAACGCCCTCGGGCTCTCAACAGGACGTTGGTCCTTTTAGAGAGAAATTGTAATTGTACAGCATGATAAATTCCATTGCCGAGTCCTTTGTCTATGGCTGTGCTAATTTTGGTCGACAGCACAACGGTAACCAGCAACAACAATGACAACAACGACAACGACAACAACAACAATGGGAAGTGGTCTGTCCGCGTTTTGTTTGACAGTTATTGAAACAGATTTGTACAGAAGTTGACTTTTGTGCACACTTGGGCGCGTTCGCATTTTTGCAGCCGCGTTGTTTTGATGGCCCTTTAATGATGTAGCTGATGATTGTGTGGCAGGTTGCCATGGCATACCGCTAGCCACATGTCACATGCCACATGCCACACGCCGCATTTGCTGCACATCAAATGCAACCAAGAGCTGTAGCTGCTGCTGGCCCCATGTTTTATGCATGTAAAGCAACGTGTTAAGTGTCATTTTATTGCGCTTTAAATTGAGAGAGATTGTGTGAGCTGTGCAAGTATGTGTGACTGTATTATGTGTACATGTACATTGTACAACCCTCTCGACTGGCTTTTCATATTTCGCGCTCGCACAGCTTGTAGAGCGAGCAACTTAAATGCCAGCCAAGTCAAAACTTTGCTCATCAAACGTGCTACAAATTTGAAATGAGCTGTTTAATTGAGTGCGTGTTTGTGAGTGTACATGTGTAAGAGTATGTAAGGATGTGTGCTACTCTATGTGTGAGTGCGTATGTGCGAGTGTCGAGTCGAGTGCCAAGTTAAGTGCTTGACAAGCCTTAAGACCTCGAGCTAGCAACAAAAACTTATAAAAAGCCGTTGCTTTGAGATGCTCAAGCGCAGCAGCACAAAAGATTCACAGCTCCTGCTTGTGCGAGCACTTAAAGCAACCTGAACTGGACACCTTTTAGAGCCACAACTCAAGAGCGATTCCAACAGATAGTCAACAACAACAACASGCATTGAAAAGTTGTCTCGTTAAAAATAAATGCATTCTAAAGAATTTCAGTAAAATATAATTTTGTGTTATAATGCAACACACAAATAATGTTAAAAATTCCCATGAGAATTTGTGTATGCAGATGCATATTTCCTTTTATGCGTTACATGTAACATAATAAAAATTATAAGACCTTCTATACTGACATATATACATACCGTTTGAATTTCGTACAGCATTCCAGTACAAAAACAACTCACAGTTACACTCTCTCTCGCTTCTGCATAGACTTGCTTTAATTCACTCAAGTTCCCGCTCTCTCTTCTGTCCTCTCACTGGATGTGGATTGCATTTAGGTGCGCGCCATATTTTTTCTTTACAGGAAAAAAAAATTCGGAGCAACGCAATACACGAATAACATATATAACTTATGCTTTTAGTTTCACTGTGGTAACTTTTTAATAGCACTGCACTTTACATAACACACAGAGCACTTAGCATTATATTTTTACCATAAAATAATTGATTTTCTTTAAACGGGCACACAACTTACTGCAGACACCCAGCTTCAACGACCGATCAACAGGAGAGACACGAAGTAACTAAATTGCCTTTGCTCTCTCCAGCTACAGCGCGCTCTTGCGGCTAAATATTGAAACTAAGATCAATGCATCAAACGCGTTTGCAAGTTCTGTCTTTGCAGTCCACAAGCAAAAGAGAATAAAAAGCATTAATTAGTGATGGGACTAAATAATTTGTCACATGCACTCGGATAATTGAGTTCGCTACTCACGGGGATTATCCACATGAGCTCTAATCGAGTAAAATAGCATTCCAGTTGAGTGCAAAAGGAAATTTTTCATTTTATTATTAAGTTTATTTAAACTGTTTTTATAGAAAACTAATTTACAAAATTCACATAAATTTTGAAAAATGATTATGAATGAAATAATCTCAAACTTTTACATGCTAAGTGGGACATGTTAAGACAGCAGTATAAGAAGGTCATAAGAAAAAGGATATCTATAAAATCTACTTCAGCAGGCAGTGTCTTTAGCATATTTCAAATGTAGATTGCGCATACGCCTCGTGTGATGGCTGTGATAAGTTGTTGTTTTCTCTTGCAGCTGACGCATTTGCATAATGAACCCAATTAAAAGTTGGCTGTCTGCCAGTTGCAGCAGCTGCCGCCGCCGCAGTTAAGAGTCATTGCGATTTTTTGTTTTTTTTTTTTTTTTGGCCTACTGCGTCTTATCCTTGCGCTGCAGCTCCTGCTTGGCCAGCAGCTGCACGCGCTGGCTGACTATGCCCAGCGGCTTGCGTGGTACCAGATGACAAGTTGATTGCCTGAAAATAAAGTAAATAAATAAATGAAATGTATATATGTAGAGTTTTACATTATTGTACAACTGTTTTATCTTTTCTTCATTTTTAGACAAATTTGTCAATTGTTTGCAAATTTTTGTTATGGAGGTGTTAAAGAAATATATATGATTCATACATATACATATGTAAATATTGATTATATATAGTATATATCTCAAACAGAAACCGCCTTTCACATTAACTTATGCTCCATCTACAGACAAATCCAACTCACTTGTAGATGATTTTTTCCCGATCCGCCCAGGGCCAGCTGCGCTCCAGATTATCCAGTTTAAAGAGCAGCTGCAATGGCAAGAGACAGTGGAAAGCGAATGGATGAGTGGGTGAGAGGTGTTGCACTAATGAGACGCCGCCTTGATTGGCTTTACCTTTTGTGACTCGGTCGGCGATGGTATTGTGGCCTCCGGCATGGCCTTCTGTGTTGTATTGGCTGTGGGCGCTGGCGTAGGCGTGGCTGGGCGCACCTTTGATGTGTCACACGCATTGGCAGGCGTCTCCAGCTGTGGGCTTTCAGCGTCGCTAACGCGCAGCTTGGGCACATTTCGCAGATTCCAGGTGTAAGTGGTGCTCAGAAAATCGCTGTCATCGTCATCGTCATCATCATCATCCATTCCATCCCGCTCCTCCTCCTCATGCCCATGCTTCCCATCATTGCTAACAGCAGGCAGCTTCATATAGTAAACCGTTTTAAGTGCTGATTCATCCTCATCCTCATCCTCATCAGCCGTGTCTAGCTCCTCGTCTGGCTCATCATTCAGCTCATTTGTCGCGTAATTGACTTCCGATGCATAATCGGATTCCGGCGTCAAATCCTTTAGCTGCTTGGCTACACACTGTTGCAATAACTGCTCTTCGTCATCGTCCTCATCTGGCACCTGCACCAGATCATCTTCCTGCCCCGCCTCCTCTGGCTCAGGCTCATCCCCATCGCCATCCTCATGCTCGTCCTCACTGGCCAGCTCATAGTCGAGCGCATCCTCATCGTAGGAGCATTTGCGCGGCATGTAGGACAGCTCCACGTCCTGCAGGCTGCCAAAGGACTGCGAGACAGTCTGCAGCGTTGAGGTTAGTATCTTGGGTATCTCAGCTATGGCAGAGAGTTTCCTCTGCATCTCCAGCAGGCGCAGCTCTATTGAGCTGGGCAGCACACGGCCAGAGCGAGAAGCAAGCGATGCTACAGATGTAGCTAGATATAGTTTATGATTCTTGTTGATGATTCTCATTTATTGCATTAGATATAGATAGAACATACACGCACACGGACAGAACACACATACAGATGCAGATACAGATACAAATTGAAAGCGAAATAACAATACAGCAGCAAGTTAGTTGGAGGCGTGGCTGGGGGCTGTTGGGCTGTTGGGTTTTTGGTTGTGCCTCTTCACTTGGACTTGGATGCGGTGGGCAGAGCCATCAGCATGTTCTCAATGGTGCTGCTGCGCAGCTCCTCATTGTCGCCGACCTCCGCAAAGAAACGTTTAATATTCCGTATAATGCGATGGTGCGGCAGCTCCTGCACGCGTGGCAAAAACGAGAGATAGATAGAGAGAGAGAGAGAGAGAGAGAGAGAGAGAGAGAGTGAACAGGTGTTAATTGCATTTGAATATGTCAATTGATTTAATCACCTGCTCCTCCTCGTCCGAGGACTCGTCCTCGCTCAATTCAATGATCACCTCGTTGCCCTCTTCATCTATCTGGGTTTTGGTTTTCTTTTTCTTGGGCTTTGGCGGCTCGGGCGGCTCTTGCCACATAATGGGATGCCAGCAACGCGAGCCAAGCAATGGGGTGGGGGTGAAGTCTATGAAAAAAATAAATAAACACATCAAAAACAACCAAAAGTCCATCAGCTCACGATGCAGCACATAGGTCAGCCGGACATAGGGCAAAGGATTCAGGGAGGATTATAGGGTACATGCTCTAGTCGTGCTTCGACTGCGACTTGGACTCACCCTTTGGCGGCGGCATCGGCTTCGGCACGCGCATCACTATGGACTTCTCCTCGCCGGCCTCAAACATGCCCGTGGGATCATCCTCCTCCATGCTGTCCACATTGCATAAGCATAAGACATATATGTGTAATATATATAGATCATTTTGGTATATCTGTATGATTGGGGGCAACCTACTTGCGCATGACGAGCTGCACTTTCTTGGGCGTTGCGTTGATGCGCTCGTGTGCCTGGGCCAGAGTCAGCTGCGTGGCGTCCTCCTCGTTTATCTCGAGTATGATATCGCCCAGACGAATGCCCGATTTGTCGGCTATACTATTGGGCGTTACCTGCAAGACAATGTCAAATTTTACTTTCCCTTTACATCTATTTTGATTTACATGTATACTATTTGATACCCTGCACAACTTTCGCTTTCACGTACCGACCGTACCGACAGTCAACGCGCAATTGATCCCCAAATGTTGCGTAGTTCGAGTTTAGGTCGAACAAATATACAGACTCATATATATTTAGTAGAGACTATTCTATATACTGAGGCGATGATATATGACAGACAGCTTCAGTTGGCTATAGACGCTTATATATTTATGCCTGCATATATTGTAGCTCTGTACGCGTGCTCCCAAAAAGAAAACACAATGAGATACTTCTTGCTTGTATTTTAAAATAGTCGACGTCAAGAGTGCGCTACAGCAAAAATATTGGGTGAATGGATTTTTATATAACAATTAATAAAATATGAGATATATGAAATGTATTAAATATATGAGTTATAGATATACGAAATAATTGATATATATGTATGTATGTTTTGGCTTCTTCAAAATAAAATATAATAAATATAAATAATATTGATTTAAATTAGTATCTCCCTCAATTAATTACTCTTATTAATATTGATTTTTCATCCCTAAATATTTTGTATTCAATTTTTTTTTATTTTACTAATTTTTTATAATAAATATTTTATGGAATAAATAATTTAAGAATTTATATTTGCAAGAATTCAATTGACTGGATTACCCCTATTTTTTGCTCGCAGTATTTTGAAATATTAAAAATAATATTATAAGTCATTTTACATTTTTTGGATTTCAGAAAATTAAAAAATAATTTTAATTGTTTACTATCAATATTTTACAAAAAT